TCATTGTGTTGTTTAAAAGCTTTGGTATTATGATTATTGTTATGATTATTAATAGTGTTATTTGTGTATTTTTTAAATGTACCAGGTGAATTTCTATTGATCACTGCATGATTACGATTGGTAGTAAGATTTTTTGGAGATTCACTACATTGGCGGGGAGCACAGTGAAGAGAGAGTTAGCACAAACAAAAATAAAAGATAAAAATAAAATGAACACAATCAGTGCAGGTGTTATTATTATAGAGTAAATAAATATTATTCAACTTTTTAAATAAATTTCGAACATCATAGATGTCGTCGAAGTTGTAAGGCCTCCAAATATATTCCAGTTCGCTTACATTTAACTTGGTTAAGCCCTTTCGATTAATTTATTTAACCAAGCCAATTTGTATAGCAACAACTCATATGTACCACTGGTATTTTTTATTATCTGGTTTGTATAAGCTTGTACGACTGAGCATTGTTTACGCCTACGCACTTACTCATTCTATTCCGAATAAACGTATTCATCAATACGAGTTCATCTTCTGATTTATAAACCGAGCTTATTACGAAACTTAAGAACACGCAATAATTCGTCACACCACAAATGGTGAGCCCGACGTAATCAGAATTGGCACACTACAAAGTATTGCTCGTATATCCTGGGACAATGGAGTAAGTAATACTGTTTTTTCGGAATCCAGTACTAGGTAAGGATGGCTAATCAAAAGAGGAAGTATTGAAACTTCATCAGTTGAGTTGGTTTGGACATGTGTTGCGTATGCCTAATCAACGACTGCCTCAACGAGCTTTGTTTTGTAGTGTAGGAGTAGGTTGAAAGAAAGTTAGGGGCGGCCAGATCAAAACGTGGCACAAATCCATGAAGTCACTGACAAGTGGACTGAGTCATGTTGATATATGTAGGCTATCTGGTTGTCGTCCGCGAGACGAAAGTCACCAATGGTTAGAGACCTTGAACGACATGGCTCAGAATCGTTTACAATGGCGCAGGTGCATCTATTCTTTGTGTTCTCTCTGATTCTAACCTTCTCAATTCCTCATAATCTTTGTCTTTCTCTTTCTAAAGTAGTCTCATTACATTGTAGTTCTTGAATCCTATTTTCGCTCCCTAATCTTCTCCATTGCTGCTAATACTTCTACTATCGCCATCACTCTTGGATTTGAACTGACAGTTACGTCTCTGTGCTGAGGTGGTATGGAAACCTGAACTGATGTACTTATGTACGAAGTTCTGCGTTGTATCTGTCTGTCTGAGGGTAACAGGCGTAAGTAAGTAAGTAAGTAAGTAAGTAAGTAAGTAAGTAAGTAATCAGGTAGTCTCCTTTAAATCCAAAACAGATGTATCTGTAAGAACTTATCTAAAAACTAAAACCCGTGGCTAAACCATGCACTCCCTTGCATAGATTACTAGTGAGATGGAACTGGTTGGTTCGATTGTATTCTATGAGGAAACCACATAAAGCTGATAACAATTAAAAACAAATTTTCTTTTTGTAAAAATCCCTAGATCAATCAGATGCCAGCCAGCCCAGTGGTTCGATGGTTAGGCGCTCGCGCACAATACCGAAGGTCCCGAGTTCGAATCCTGCGAGATGCAGGAGTCGTGGATGCGCACTGCTGATGTGTAGTCCCATACTAGGACGAAACGGCCATCTTACAGTGCTTCCAGGTTTCTAATGGTGGTCTAGTAACAATGACTGATTGATGATTTCAAATGTGTAAAAACATTAGTCTCCAAAAGTCTAACCGAAAATAAATAAACTTACAAAAAATTCAAATAATAACTTACATTTTATTAACAGATAATTTCATATTTCTATTTAAATTAGGTGATGGTGTTAAAAATTGATTTTTACGGCTGTTACTACTACTATTAATACTACTTGTAGTAGTAGTATTAGTAGTATTGGTTGTAGTATTAATAGAAATATATACACCTGATTTATTTTCAATCTATAAAAAAATAAAATACATTATGTTTATTAAATGATCAAGGAATAGATGAGTTTCATTGAAACAACTTACAACAAGTGTAGAATGAACTGAAACAATGAGTTTTAGCAGCACCCCTTTCACTCACACGCTCTCTCTCTCTGTTTTCATGATTACAGTGTAGATGATGAAAACATCTTTACAAATCTACTATTCTATGAAATGGTTGACAAAAGTTTTAAATATAATCAACCATGTTAGAGCAACTTTTTGAAATCATGAATCATGACTAGTGCAGTTCAAGCTTGTTTGAGTGTGAAACAGTACTAACCGAAAACAGTGGATGAGGTCGTGCAAGACTTTGGATTGATAACACTGTCAAATACTGGTTTAGTGAGTGGTTCAGAGGTTAGGCATTCACGTGCAAGACCTAAGGTCTTGGATTTGAACCTTACGAGTTGCAGGAGTTGTGGATGTGCAGTGCTGATGAGTCCTATACCAGGACGAAACGGCCGTCCAGTGCTTCTAGATTTCTAATAATTGTCTAAGATTGATCGATTCATGATTTTAATAAAGCAACTCAACAATCTGCACAACTCTATCATGCAAATCTTCTAGCTGGACACATGATGTATTTCAGTGTAAGAGTAGTAGATAAAAGTTCAAGACAGAGAATCAGACCATAAAGTGATTGACTTTCACTGAAATCATGAATTGATCAATGTTAAAAGACCACCATTGAAGATATAGGTGCACTAGATGGCTGTTTTGTCCTAATGTGAGTCTCGTCATTAGTAAACATGCACCACCCTTACAAAAGGGAATCGAACCCACGAACTTTGGTTACACGAGTGAACCACTAAGCCAGCTTTCAACGGTGTCAATGTCAAATTTCAATAAATCAACGATATTGCGCGACGTAATTCAATATCTTCAGTGAGTGAGTGCTTCACACCCGGCACAAATGTACTCTGATGATCATAGCTTTTCGATGGAACTTCCCCACGAAGCTAGGTTTTAAATACTAGTTTAACAGTGGTCGATTCATGGTTTTGATGAAACTCAACCATCTCGAAAAACCCTATCATGACAACTCATCGACTATTGGACTAAATAAACACTATCTGGTTGAGGTCCACGTGATTCTTGTGATTCTCTGTTAGAAATGTTGGTTCATAGGGGGTTCAGTACTGGTCATACACAACCTTCGGATTTAAAATGATTTCATACTTTTTATCCAGTATAATTTATCTGTAACAGAATTGAAATCGCTATGTATGAAGTTGTTAATAGATCCTGTTTCTTTTCTGCTTAGCAGAAGAGCAAGCCCTGCGTGCAATGAACCTACAAGATAACTCATAAAGACTATTTTGTAAACAAGCCATCCCTTCTGTACTTAGCTCGAGAATGTTAAATTTTCAAATAAAAGACCCATGGCTACCACTCCATGTTCTCTCTTAGTGTGAAGTGCTTAGTTAACCTAGTGTGTTGTGGTTTCACATCTTCTTCTTCTTCGTCCTTCAGTGACTGCTGATTTTACACGTGTTACATATCTACTTCTCTTGAAGTGCACTATCTGTGACTGGTTTACTACACTAGCTGTTTGACAGATTGGATCAGATATCGTATAACTACTGAGTAACCAACTATATTACTATTCTATTGAATATCATAAGCTTTCAGTTAATTCATGATCTACTCGTTGGGGATGTTAGTAGATCCCCAGAACTCGCTTGATAAATGCCTTATTTTGGATTTCACGTTTGCGAGTATGGGTTGATCAGTTGACCTTGAACTTTCATTTCACACCAGGATAATCCATGGCTGTGTGATTGGCTGCAGTGTATTTTAGTGTGCTATTTTTGTAACTGTCTCAAGGAAGTTTCTATGATGTAAAAATAATAAAACGAAAGTTGTGTGCTTGATTGTATTGTGATTGCTGATGGGTGTTTGTAGAATATACTTTCTACGCTTATCAAGCCTTCTGTTTTGCAGTTTGGGATTCAAGGTAGCCCTATCTGAACGCTGGTAATTGTCTCGTTCGCGTTTTATCGACTAAGATGAACTCGTAATAGCTTCAAACATACCTAGAGACGAACATAACACTACTACTGTTATGTAATTTTCTTATTTAACTACCTAACTACACTGCCAATTTAGTATTTTACAGGTTTCTTTAATTCACACCCACTTTTTTTGGGTGTATTCAAGGATAATAATTACTAAATGATGTGATACAATCTAGTCTGCTGATAACATAAACTATGTCTGTTTTAACTATAGATATGGTAGAGGCTGACAGCTGACCTCTGTCTGGATTGAAGATAAAAGTCTGAGAGACAATATAAAATAGTGAACCGATAGGAACATAGCTGTTGATTTAAGGTCCTTCTCTGGATACTGCCAATTCCGAGCTCAGATGAAGGAGTAGGGTTAGGTTAACGACCACATGCCATACAAATGCAACGGGCTAAAAGAACGCTAACCAGGAGAAACAATTCTCTGGAAAGCGGCCTACACGGTAACAGGCGTAAGTAAGCAGGAAATCGACCGGACAAGAATCGGGATTCTAACTGATAGTTAGTTATGTTGTAACGTATGAGGAGGAGGTCAAGAACACATTGAATATATACATATTTGCAGAAAACGATGTACATCGGTATGCAATAAAGACAGGTTATCGACTATCTTCTCTTTCATATCTTCATGTCATCGATATACTCTGGTTGTGTCATGCATTTTGATCTTGAGATACTACTATTTAGGAGCAAGTCCTAGGTGATGCTCCTCCGGTGCATACTACTTATATGACCCTCGTGAATAGCATTCGTTATAGGTTAGAATACTCACATCATGTTAGATTCTATCATGTAAGAAAAGTTAATTGGAAAGCGATACGGCTAAAACAGCATACTCATGGTCAAATGGGAAATTTTTACCACGGATTGTAAATGGGTATGACAGCAGTAAGATATTTCTTTCAGACTATTAGTAACTTCAGTGATGAATCATTCCGATAACGAAAGTAGAGAGTTAGAACAAGGCCATTCCCTAAAATAGCACACTTCACCTTACTCCACGGATTTCTGTTGTTGTGGTGTTTAGAGGATGTATCACTTGGCCTTTAAACAGTTGTTCCATAAACACCCTCCCAGATCGATAAGACTGCGATTCTTACATTTAACTACCTCAAAGTGAAGTATTCCTCTTCTAGAATGTGAACAACCAGAAAGTAAGGATCACTTACACATCGCTCAAGATAAACACGTTACAACAGAATGGAAGTTTCAAACTAAACTATATGTGTATATTAGCTATCAACTTGGTTTTACACTTTAGCAGCAAAAATAAAACTTACTTTGTCAACAGTTGATGTTGTTGTGTGATTATCACCGGATAACGAACCGAATCCTTTATGAAAATAAAAAAAATAGACTTAAGTTGATTTGATGAATTTTAAATTGAATTAATTCAACTACTTATAGTAAAATATAAGTAGATTTTAAAAATTCAAATTAATGGTATGTGAAAAGCAATGACTGATTGTTTTTCAAAGAAAGTTTCTAAATTACAAATAGGAAAATCTTTCAGTCAGTCAACTAGAACGTAGAATTTCTTATGTTACATATATATTTTCAGGTTGTCATACCACATAGCAAGCATGTTCGGGATGCGGATCTTACCCTCGAAATGCAAAATGTTGCTTCAAGACTGGGTTGCATCAGCACCTGAACTAGTGATAGGGAGTGAAGTATTCGAACGTGTAGACTGCTTCACTTATCCCGGGAGTCTCATCAGTGCCGATGGCCTAGTGACTGACGAAATCTCAGCTCGGAGACAGAAAGCTCAATTTGCTTTTGCCCATTTACGCCGTTTATAGCGTAGGCGAGATATCAGTTTGCTGACTAAAGGACGAGTGTACTGTGCAGTAGTTCGCTCCGTCTTACTTTATGGCTGTGAAACATGGCCAGTGAAAGTAGAAGATATTCGTAGGTTACTGGTTTTCGATCATAGGTGTCTTCAAAGCATTGCTCGTATATCGTGGGGCACCCGAGTGAGCAATGCTGTTATTAGGAATCGGGTGCTTGGTAAGGATGGCAGATCAATAGATGAAGTAATGAAACTTCATCAGTTGAGGTAGTTGGGACATGTGTTGCGTATGCCCAACCACCGACTGCGGTGACGAGCTTTGTTTTGTAGTGTAGGAGTAGGTTGGAAGAAAGTTAGGGGCGGCCAAACCAAAACATGGCAGAAATCCATGGAGTCATTGACGAGTAGACTTAGCCATGTCGGTAGTTGTCGACTACCTGGTTGGGGTCCGCGAGACGAAAGTCACCAATGGTTAGATACCCTGAATGTCATGGCTCAAAACCGTTTGCAATGGCGCTGGTGCATTTATTCTTTGTGTTCTCTCAAATCCTAATCTTCTGAAATCTTCAACACCTCTACTTTTGACTTCCTAAACTTTTCTCACTGAATCATATTTCTTGAATACCTTCTCATCCTAACCTCTCCGATTACTTCTAATACTTTTACTACCTCTTCTACTATTGGAATTGAATTGATCATTACATCTCTGTGCTAATGTGGTATGGCAACATGAACTGATGTACTTACGTACGAAGTTCTACGTTGCGTCTGACTGATGACTGACATACCACATTAACACAGAGAGATCGATCTGATAATACAAATCCTATAATGGGAGAGGTAGTAGCAGTATGATCAGTATTCGGTAAGATTAGAGTTCGAAGTTATTATTTAAGGAGTATAATCCAGTGAAATAGAGTTGAGAAGAGGAAGATAAAGGTGACGAGGAATTCAGAAGATTAGGACTTGGGAGAAGTGACAACGGACGGATTCACCTGAACCATTGCAGACGATTAAGAGCCGTGTTATTGAAAGTCTCTAACCATTGGTTCCCATCATCTTACAGACCCCGAACAGATAGTCTCTATCTATTTGACAGTGACTTCATGGATTTGTGTCATGTTTTGGTTTGGTCGCCTCTAGCTTTCTTCAAACATACTCTTAACTCACAAAATATAGCATTTTGAGGCTCAGTAGTAAGGCATACGTTACACATGTCCCAACCACTTCAACTGATGAAGTTTCAATACTTCATCTACTGATCTGCCATCCTTGGCTAGTGTACTCATTTCCTAACACTAGCATTGATTACTCAATTGTCTCAGGATGGACGAGCAATGCTTCGAGGAAACCGATGACCGAATACTAGAAGCCTACGAATATCCTCTACTTTCTACCCATGAGGTTGAACGGAGAGAACTGATGTACAGTAAAGCCTTCCTTTGGTTGTGACACAGACACCTCGCATTATCTGTAACGATTTCTGACCAGGATCAGGATCCGGTCCCGGATCCCTAGTCCGAGATCCTGATTCTCTTCTGGATTCAGACCTCGTACTTTCTGGATGATTGTAGAATACAGGTTCTACTTCATATCAAGTCTTCTTATTTTTTACTCAATATAGGGGTTGCGATAATCGGATTTGAATAGCATGTCGTGTTGCCGGATCCTCGAGATCCTCACTCTCATTTTCCGACTAGGTAAACACTCATCATAGTTCAAGCATATTAAGTTGACGTGTTTATGTGTCCGGGCGTAACAAATTTTTTCATAGATTAAGAATTTGAAAAGCAAAACAGATAACTCTACCCTTCTTCATTGGGAAAAACACATATTTACCTTCCCAACTACTTAATCTTCGATGAGTATTGATTGGTCGCAGTGGAGGTGGTGGCGGTGGTGGTGTTGAACGTTTTTTACGTGGTCGTTGAATAGAATCATAAGAAGGATTGATTTGTTTAATGGCGTTAGTAGTAGTAGTAGTAGTAGTATGAGTAGGCGTCCGCGGAGGAGGAGGAGGTATCATTGGTGGTGGAGGTTGTGGTGGTTGTTCAAGTAAATGACCTAATGATGTTGTCATCATCGTAGGATTGGATTTGGATTGTTTTTTCTTTGGTTGACTCATCGTGATCATCGGTGCTGGTGCTTTGTTCGACAGAGTTGGCGGTGTTTTCTTACCAGATAATGATGATGTAATCGTAAGTTTCGGGGAAGATAACGTTGTAGTAGTAGTAGTAGTAGTTGTTGTATTCATGTTCGTTGTACCATTATGATTATTATTATTATTGTAGATTGGTATAGGTTTCAATAGATGATTGCTGTTATTATGATTACTTAAGAATGAATATTTCGGTTGTGGTACACGACCACCACCGGCATCAACATCATCTTGACGTAATAAATTCGGTGAAGATGATGACAGAGATGTAGGCGGAGCCATCAGTGATGGTGGTAGAGGAGGAGGTTCTATTTGTAAAGATAATTTATAATTTGCATCTTCCATAAATCGTTGAAGTTCTTCAATGTAACGTTGTCCTTCTAAATAACTAGCTATTGATTCATTTCGAATAAAAGCTAAAAATGTGAAGAGAAAAGAAGTGGAGAGGAGAAGATGAAAATAATTAGTGGGAATTTGAATAAAAATTTACTTAAAAAAACGTTTAGTGTGGGTGTGCGTGTAGGGCTTATTCCACTTACTTACTTACTTACATTCGCCTGTTACCCCTGAATGGAGCATAGGTCACTAACCAGCATTCTTCGACTTACTCTTTGTCGTGCGCCACCTTTCCAATTCTTTGTAATTTGTGTTCATTCTTCTCATCTCGGTCTCCATTTCTCGGCGCAATGTATTGCTTTGAATTCATAGTTTTTGTTGGCCTTGAAGATTCTAGGTGACGGCTTGTCTTGTAACGCAGTTTAGTGTTTTCCTCAATATATATATATAAATATCCTATCCACTTCCAACGGTTCTTCATGATTTCTTAATTCGTCGAAATCTAGTTTGTTTATTTTCACAGTAGGTTGTTACTGATAGTAGTGGTCTGGCTAACGGATCTGAAGACTTTTTGCGTAGACAACAGTTAATAAGCACTAGTGCCTTCTGGACGATGGCTTTTGTAGTTTTTTTTTGGGACTTTCCACTTCATATAGTAGTACTGTCTTGAAAATGGTGACTTTGATGTTGATTAACAATCATTTTGAGCTCTAGGTGTTATTCAATTATAGAAATGTATTCCTTGCTTAGAAGAATTGGACAATCGATTCATCCTAGTATGGAACTTATCAACAGCATGCATGTACATCACTTCTGCTTGCGGGAATCAAGCACAAGCAAGAACGTTTCAGCTGACACTGAACAGTGTTTAAATCTAACTTTGATCAATTCCAGGTATTGCACAACTTCACTCATTTTGTCTTCACAAGTGGACTGAGTCATATTGGTAGATGTAGGCTATCTGGTTGGGGTTCGCGAGACGAAATTCACCAGTGGTTAGAGACATTGAACAACATGGCTCAGAATCATTTGTAATGGCGCAGGTGCATCCTATCTTTGTGTTTTACGAAATTCTAACCTTCTGAATTCCTCATAATCTCTATCATTCTCCTTTTAAATTTATCTTATTGAATTATACTTCTCGAATCATATCTTCAAACCCTAATCTTCTCCATTGCTGCTAATACTTCTACTATCGCTATCATTCTTGGATTTGAACTGACAGTTGCGTCTCTGTGCTGATGTGGTATGGAAACCTGAACTGATGTACTTATTTACGAAGTTCTGAGTTGTATTTGTCTGTCTGTTTGACCCATTGTCTTCGGTAATTACTACTACCTACACCCGACACAATTTAGAGCTATTTTTTGTTCAAACTCAGAATATTTAACTCCTAATATCACTGGTTATAGTTCAAACTATAAAGCCTAATCAGTGCTGAATAAGAGACAGTGATCAGCTGTAGGCAATTGATGAAGGTTACGCAGGCAGTCAGTTAGTCAGCTACAATGTAGAAGTTTGTCAGTACGTACGTACATCAGTTCAAGTTGCCGTACCACATTAGTACACAGAGATACAATCGTCCATTCAAATCCCATAGTACTAGAGGTAGTAGAAGTATGAGCAGTAATCGGAAAGATCACAGACTGATTGGGGTTAGACGGGAACACGATTGGTCCAAAGGTTAGGAGGTTTCGGCACAAGGGGGAAGGTTCTAGGTTCGATTTCTGCCTACAGGATCGTGTTAAGATAATTTTACTGTATGAGGCGTAAAATTGGAGAACTACCAAACCCATCATCCACAAGATACAGGTGTTCTTTAGCAGTTTGTCTACGCAAAATACTTCGCATTCGTTAACCAGATATCATCAGAACCGACCTATTGTGAAAGAGAGAATAAACCAGATTCCAGTGGAGGAAGGAATCAGGACGAAGCACTGGAAGTGGATAGGACACACATTACGCAATGCACCCAAACTGCATCGCAAGACAAACCCTAACTCAGAATCCTCAAGGTAAAAGGAAAAGATTAAGACCAAAGATCAGATTACGACGAGAATTCGAGACTGACATGAAAAGTAAGTAAGTAAGTAAGTAAGTAAGTAAGTAAGTAAGTAAGTAAGTAAGTAAGTAAGTAAGTAAGTAAGTAAGTAAGTAAGTAAGTAAGTAAGTAAGTAAGTAAGTAAGTAAGTAAGTAAGTAAGTAAGTAAGTAAGTAAGTAAGTAAGTAAGTAAGTAAGTAAGTAAGTAAGTAAGTAAGTAAGTAAGTAAGTAAGTAAGTAAGTAAGTAAGTAAGTAAGTAAGTAAGTAAGTAAGTAAGTAAGTAAGTAAGTAAGTAAGTAAGTAAGTAAGTAAGTAAGTAAGTAAGTAAGTAAGTAAGTAAGTAAGTAAGTAAGTAAGTAAGTAAGTAAGTAAGTAAGTAAGTAAGTAAGTAAGTAAGTAAGTAAGTAAGTAAGTAAGTAAGTAAGTAAGTAAGTAAGTAAGTAAGTAAGTAAGTAAGTAAGTAAGTAAGTAAGTAAGTAAGTAAGTAAGTAAGTAAGTAAGTAAGTAAGTAAGTAAGTAAGTAAGTAAGTAAGTAAGTAAGTAAGTAAGTAAGTAAGTAAGTAAGTAAGTAAGTAAGTAAGTAAGTAAGTAAGTAAGTAAGTAAGTAAGTAAGTAAGTAAGTAAGTAAGTAAGTAAGTAAGTAAGTAAGTAAGTAAGTAAGTAAGTAAGTAAGTAAGTAAGTAAGTAAGTAAGTAAGTAAGTAAGTAAGTAAGTAAGTAAGTAAGTAAGTAAGTAAGTAAGTAAGTAAGTAAGTAAGTAAGTAAGTAAGTAAGTAAGTAAGTAAGTAAGTAAGTAAGTAAGTAAGTAAGTAAGTAAGTAAGTAAGTAAGTAAGTAAGTAAGTAAGTAAGTAAGTAAGTAAGTAAGTAAGTAAGTAAGTAAGTAAGTAAGTAAGTAAGTAAGTAAGTAAGTAAGTAAGTAAGTAAGTAAGTAAGTAAGTAAGTAAGTAAGTAAGTAAGTAAGTAAGTAAGTAAGTAAGTAAGTAAGTAAGTAAGTAAGTAAGTAAGTAAGTAAGTAAGTAAGTAAGTAAGTAAGTAAGTAAGTAAGTAAGTAAGTAAGTAAGTAAGTAAGTAAGTAAGTAAGTAAGTAAGTAAGTAAGTAAGTAAGTAAGTAAGTAAGTAAGTAAGTAAGTAAGTAAGTAAGTAAGTAAGTAAGTAAGTAAGTAAGTAAGTAAGTAAGTAAGTAAGTAAGTAAGTAAGTAAGTAAGTAAGTAAGTAAGTAAGTAAGTAAGTAAGTAAGTAAGTAAGTAAGTAAGTAAGTAAGTAAGTAAGTAAGTAAGTAAGTAAGTAAGTAAGTAAGTAAGTAAGTAAGTAAGTAAGTAAGTAAGTAAGTAAGTAAGTAAGTAAGTAAGTAAGTAAGTAAGTAAGTAAGTAAGTAAGTAAGTAAGTAAGTAAGTAAGTAAATAATATTATTAATTATATTAAAAGCAAAAATCAAATTCAAATCAACTTACAATAACTAGATTGTTGAAAATTGGCAATAATTCGTAAAATATTATTAATACGATTTTGTTTAGTTTGACTAGACCATGAACCATGTTGATGATTGGATGATGTTGATGTGGATGTTGATGACGATGAAGATGTTGTAGTAGGCACAACATCAATAAATGTTAAATCAGAAAGATAAACACCTGGTTTTGTTTTAAATGAATAAGGAGAAACGAAAAGAAAAGAGAAAAATTAAATCAAGAAGACGATATGAGCAAACAGAACACAAACAAACAAAACACATACACACATACAAACAGTGAACATGAAAACAGAAAATGTGAAAAACAACGGTATGACCTAATTTTCTCTGTTGTTTTTTGTTTTCTTGTCTAAATGATGATGGTTTATATATATGTTTGTTGCCATTGTCATGGAAATGACCTTAAATATAATAAAAGACAATTTATCAACAAAGGAATACTTTGAAATTACACTATTCATTAATGGAATGATAAATTTTCATCGGTTTTTTTTCTGCAGACATTCCCATTTAGGTTTATTTAAACTTTGAACTGAATAGGGTAAAATAAAGTACTATTAGTCTCTTTGAAAAGAATTATGAATCGATAGAGTTGGGCGAAAAAAAAATCGATTGAATATATGTGTTTTTTTAGCTGCTATTTTTGGTCGCTCATGCTGTTACGGGTACGGGGGCGGTTGTCATTTCCCGGCTGCCCATACCGAGGAAGGGTGTTTCTTGAGGGACCTGAAAAGGAAGATAGATTAGTGTTGGTCTTAGAGACCTGGAAGCGTGACCGCAGAGCCCAACAGACAACTGCTTCAGGCCGGTCACCCACGGCTCCACTCTTAAAAGCCCCTTAGTGGGCACCCTTACCCAAGGAGACGGAAATCCGTGAGGTAGGATGAGGTGTGACATTTTTAGGGTCGACCTTTTCTAACTCTTCCTTCCTTGTGAGAAGGCAGCATCACTGCAGATGCTGGTTGTCCGAGAGAAACACCTTACTGCTGTCACACCCCTCCATCACAGTCAGCAGTACGACTTCGCCCTCAGACCTTGAGTAGCTAGCTGCTTTTAGTCTCATCGTTCTCCAATTGACCTGCCTGGCATGGTAGAACAAACCTACAGGAACATATGTTCCAGCCAATATAGCTCAGTTGGGTCATCACGATAGGCGAGTCCGACCACCACGTCAAGGTAGCAGCTACGGTCGGGAGCAGTGATTTTGACGTGGTAGAAAGGGCTTGCGTACCAATGATGATATAACCCAACTATATTGGGTAGAATTTGTGTTCCTTTACGTTCTACTATGCCAAGCAGGTCTATTGTAGAATGCTAGGATTAAAAACAGCAATTCAAGGTCTGAGAGCGAAATCGTACTGATGATTGTACAGAAAAGTGTGATAGCAGTAACGCATTTTGCTCCAACATGTCACTTTACCTTATGGATTTCCATCTCCGTTGGTAAGGTCATTTGAATAGCGGAGCTAAGACTTTGAAAACTACATACAAAAAAGGTAGCGTGTGTCACCGGTCTAATTCGAAAACAGTAAACAATCATAGTACCTTAGTTTTAAATTAAAAAGTATCTTTATATGAAAGTGTTTGTCACAGTTTATTTATTTCTTATACAAACAAGATATAATGTACGACCAGCCTTAGAAATGCAGAAGTACTAGACAGCCGTTTCGTTCTAGTATGGCGGACTCGTTAGTGGCAGTGCGCATCCACATCTACCGCTCATGGGAATCGAAACCAGGAAATTCGGATTTCACGCGCGCAAACGCTTGAACCTCTTGACCGCTGACTGAGCTGGCATCACCCAACGGTGACAATCATTCATTGTTTTCAGTCAGTCAGTCAGTTGCAACGTAGAACTTCGTACGTAAGTACATCAGTTCATGTCGCCATACCACATTAGCACAGAGAGGCGATTATCACTTTAAATCCCATAGTGGCAGAGATAATAGAAGTATTACTGCTAATGTAGAAGACTAGGGTTTGAAGATATTATTCAAGAAGTATAATTCAGTGAGAAAAGTTTAGAAAGGAAAAGGTAGAGGTGTTGACGAATCCAGAAGATTAGGATTTGAGAGAAGAAACAAAGAGCGGATACACTTGCGCCAGTGCAAACGATTTTGAGCCATGTCACCTAAAGTATCTAATCACCGATCACTATCATCTCCTGGGCACCAACCAGGTAGTTGACACCTACCAACATGACTCAATTCACTTGTCACTGACTTTGTGCTATGTTTTGGTCTGGCCGCGCCATACCTTTCTTCTAACCTACACACCTACATCACCAAACATAGCTCGCCAGAGTAGCCGGCTGTGGGGCGTACGTAACACATTTCCCAACCACCTCAACTGATGAAGTTTCACCACTTAATCTATTGATCTGCCATCCTTAACTAGTACAAATTTCCTAACAACTGCATTGTCCCAGGATATGCCGCCAGCATCGCTTCGGAGACATCAATGATCGAATACTAGTAACCTACGAATATCTCCTACTCTTACCGGCCATGTTTCACATCCATATGTGAGAACAGGTAATAGACATCTACCAACATGACTCAATCCATTTGTACATGACTTTATGGATTGCTGTCATGTTTTGGTTTGGCCGCCCCATACCTTTCTTCCAACCTAAACACCTACATCACCAAACACAGTTCGTCGGGGTAGTCAGTACTGGGGCATACGTGACACATGCGTCAAACAGTTGAGTAACAACTAACTACCTCACCTACTCTCACCTACTAATATACTGACACACATTTATGATAGAACCAGATAATAGACGTGTTCAATAAATAAAGGTCGAAAAATACAAATTTGCTGTTTTAATCACCTATAACCATAACCCACCTACACATTCCAACTACACATGCACACGCACGCACACACACATTAGTAACACTTGATTAAAACACAACAATAACACAAAATAAATAATTATCATACCACACTTTCTAGAATAAACATTGATAGATTAGTTAGTCCAAAATATAAGATTTCTACAACTATACGTGTATGCATATACATATATATTATGTCATAGTGTAATAATCATAATTCTATCACAAATGTGAATATGAAGGCCTAAATGTATCAGTCATACAACTACGATGATTTATGCACCATAAAAAACACAATCGATAAAAAACAGCCTTCAATGAAGGCCAGTTATTTTCATAGTTGACATCCATCTCATTCAATCATAATTAATATGCATACTGATGACCACTACTAGTCAGTCAGTCAGTTAGTTAGAGTTAGCTAGCTGCAAGATGAGAATTTTTGGAAGGTCTAGTGAGAAGATCTTAGCAATCTAATCTTCTTGATGACTCTGCTGATACTTCTAGTGTAGTGAACGAGAACACAGGTGAGGGCAACCGGATTGTATTTAGCGAAATTACAGAGTTACTCAGTAAAATAGGGAAACCATATCGTAAATCGTTAATTTGCAAAATATCAGTTCATCATATCGAACTGGACTGTTCCTGTTGCAAACAACATCAATCCATTGTCACTATTCATGCGTTTCACACAAATTCTATTGTTTTCTAACTCTTCCTTTCTTGATCTTACCCCATCTTCTGCTGCCAGACATTACGTTGACACTCACGTCAAATACTACTTATAAGTAGCTCACACCACACTAGTACCTCTAATATACTACGGGATTTGAATTGATAACTCGATCTTGTTGGGGATGTTAGATCCCCAAAAAAATCGCTTGATAAATGCCTTATTTTGATTTTCACGTTTGCCAGCATGAGCTGATCAGTTGAGCTTGAGATTTCAATTCCCACCAGGAAAATCCATGGCTGTGATTGGCTGCTGTGTATTTTAGTATGCTATTTTCATAATTATCCCAAGGACGTTTCTATGATGTATAAATAAACGAGAGTTATATGCTTGATTGTACTGTGAATTCTGCGTGTTTGTAGAATATACTTTCTACGCTTACAAGGCCTTCTTACTTTATTTGGGGATTCAAGGTAGCCTACATGGACGCTGGTTCATTGTCTCGTTCGCGTTTATCGACTAAGGTAAACTCGTAATAGCCTCAAGCATACTTTAGTGACGAACCCAATATATCTGTCTGTGCTAATGTGGTATTGCAACGTGAATTGATGTACATACATACGTAAGTACTTACGAAGTTCTATGTTGTAGCTGACTGACTAACTGAGTCGTAGTTAGAAGCTGTAACCAGTGAAGTTCAACCTGTGTCGGGTGGGAAGGAAACAGTTATTCGCCACAGACACAAGATCATAGATTAGTTTCTGCTGTTCCATTACTGCGGGCGGAATGCTACACTAAAACGAAATGGTTGTCTAGTGGCATCTAGATTTTCTCCTACTGAGTAGACTGAGGCAGGCGAGGAAGACTGTATTTTGCAAATTTACACTCTAAGTCAGTTAAAAACGAAAAACATTACATTGAATACTCTATTTGCACACCATCTTTAAGTCGTCACATTCAACACTCCATCCTTCTTCCATTCCTATTGTTGCTTCCTTTCCTTCCTATTGGTACTGCGTTTACTTCTTGCTTTCTGTTTTCCTCTTCTGACCATGAGACTTCTTCTTTCACGTACCTTCTTATACTACTTATATCGTTCGTATAAGTAGCACACACCATACTGCTAGTGTTCTAAGTCTAAGTCTATAATCAATGATTGTGTATATGTAATTTTATGCACTGCTTTTTATCACACACACAAACACACATACACACTAGTATGTGTGTGTGTGCATGTTAGACCGCCATTAGAAGCGTGGAAGCATTGGACGACCGTTTCGTCCTAATATACGATTCATCAGCGGTACACATCCACAATTCTTGCTACTTGCAAGAATGCAACTCAAGATGGTGGTTTTCAGCTCATACACACTAACTCTACACCAAATGAGCCGGTATTTATCGGTGTTATTGAAAATATCTGCATAATTTATGTGATAATTATTTTGACTGAATTGTGACTGAATTGTAAAGTAAACAGTCTGTAATTATTAATTAGTAGGCGACATAATTTTCGTTACATAATACAGACAAAATTATCATTCAACCAGACAGACATTTGTAAACAAACAACAACATTCAACTTGTAATGTATGTGAGTGTGTGAAAAATAAACTTAAAAAAAAACAAACAGTTATGTAATTTATCATGCTGTTTGTTCTAAGGTGTTTAAGAGTGATAACCGACAGAAGCTGCTACCTTGATGTGGTGGTCGTCGGGCTTGCCTATCGTCATGACCCAAACGAGCTATATTGGCTGGAATATATGTTCCTGAAGGTTCTACCATGCCACGAAGGTCAATTGGACAAAGATGAGACTAAAAGCAGCTACTCAAGGTCTGAGGGCGAAGTCGTACTGCTGACTGTGATGGAGGGGTGTGATAGCAGTAAAGTGTTCCCCTCGGACAACCAGCATCTGCAGCGATGCTGCCTTCTCTCTCACAAGGAACGAAGGGTTAGAAAAGGTCGACCCTAAAAATGTCACACCTCAACCTACCTCACGGATTTCCGTCTCCTTGGGTAAGGGTGCCCACTAAGGGCCTTAAAGAACGGAGCTAATCCTTAAAAAACCTTTAATAAAAAGGCCGTACGTGACCGGCCTCAAGCAGTTGTCCCCTGGGCTCTGCGGTCCCACTCCAAGGTCTCCAAGACCAACATTAATCTATCTTCCTTTTCAGGTCCCTCAAGAAACAACCTTCCACAGTGTGGGCAGTCGGGAAGTGACAATCACCCTCATACCCGTAACAGCACACGAGACCAAGCTGGTCAAAATCAAATCCTTCCTACCCGTAAGAGTGATAGAGCATAGCGTCGTCATAAGAGGTAAGCGGAAAATTAAAAGGTATAGAAAGGATTTGATTGTGACTAGTTTGGTCTTGTGTATAGTTACAAGTATGAAAGGGGATGTCACTTTCCAGGCTACGTGTACTGTGGAAGGCTATGTCAAGAGGAACTTGAAAGGAAGGTTAGATCAGTGTTGGTGTTAACGACTTGGGAGTGTAAGCCGAAAGGACAACTGCATAAGGCCAGTGACGAATGAACTTTTTACATGGGAAGTTGACGTGCAAGCTCCTATTTTTAAATGGCCTTACTACCGGAGACGGAAATGTGAAGGATGTGGTAATTCGTGATATTTTTAGGATCGACATTTTCTAAATCCCTCCTTTCTTGTGAGAAGGTAGAATCGCTGCAGATGCTTGTTGTCCGAGGGAAACACCTTACTGTTGTCACATTCCTGTACGGTCAGCAGCATGACTTCGCCCAGAGACCTTAAGTTGCTGCTTTTAGCCTTAACGTTCTCTAATCGAACTAACTGACATGGGAGGACCTATAGGAACATATGTTCCAGACAATATAGCTCGGTTGAGTAATCACGATAGGCAAGCCCTACTACTACGTCAAAGTAGCAGCTACAGTCGGATGATCAAAGAACAGTGTGTTTAGCAGGATTCTTTGGATTATTTTATCCTTCTGCATGAATCGATCAATCTGGAAGTACTCAACGGTGCTTGTTGGTCTTCTTATTTTCCGTTGGCCTTGAGGATTCCAGGTGAGAACTTATCTTGTGTATGTCCTATCCACTTCCAGCGCTTTTTCCTGATTTCTTCCTCAGTTGGGATCTGGTTCGCTCTCTCCCACAGTTAGTTGTTACTGATAATGTCTGAACAACAAATCCTTAGTATCTTGCTTAGGCAACCGCTAATGAACACTTGTATTGATCTTCTTGATGATAACTTTCGTAGCTATTCAAGTTTCCGCTTCATACAGTAAAATTATCTTCACGTTTAAATTGAAAACTGTGACTAGTGTTTGGATACAGTAGTTTTCAGTTCCAGGTGTTCTTCAACTGTAGAAATACTGTCCTTGCTCTGCCGATCCACGCGTCGGATCCACCTTGCTCATCAATGATGCTGCTCAAATATATAACGGTTTTTAAATAATTCAAAGCCTCACTGTCAAATGTGATTCAGTTGGCGTATGTTGTATGGTATTGTATCAGAGAATCTTGCTTTTACGTTTGTGTATATTTGAGACAATTAATGGTTTGAATGTGAATTATCAAAATAGCGATCGATTTCTCATATGACATTTGAACTGATGTGGGTCACACACAGACACACACACACTTGTGTAACGTGATAAAAAAAAACTGTCACAAAACCAGACAGTTAAGAAAATTAGATATAAAAATGACACATTTTTAAATTATTCAGCGCTAGACATTCATTTTCTTCATCCTATGAAATTCGTCATAAAAACAACACCCTTACCGAGAGAAGTCAGTTAGTTAGTCAGTAGGACTTCGCCGATAATAACTATACACGAGTGACTGACTATGAGAGAGCACATGCGACTGTACCATGTTGATTGGGTGTCCACACTAAGCACAGCGTCGATATGGATGACCTGTCGTAGGGGCGGGTTGTCCATGTCGTGTCTAAGTAGGGGCGGATCAGCTCAGGGGGGAAACATTTAGGAACCAGTATATATTCTCAACTCATTCGAGTCATCAGTCTCTTAGTTTGCAAAAAACTAATGATGCTAACTAAGGTGAATTTGAACTTCTACTTTTGATGACATTGTAGATGTCAAGTATTCATATTGGATATACGTGGTTCGTGTTTCGTTAAGAAATATCAATACACGTTATTAATGTTCGATAGGAAAAGTTTAAACTCTAAACAGTCAGTCAGTCAGTCAATGAAATGGTTGAATTATAGTTTAATTCTTCAATAAAAGGAATTGCATTCTAGTGTAACGTCCAGTACAAGTTGGTTCCCGAGCGTCACTGCTACCTTTAAGTGGAGGTCGGCTTTGCCTATCGTAATGAACCAATCGAATTATATTGACCGGAACATATGTTCCTGTAAGTTCTACCATGCCAGGAAGGTCAACTGTAGAACGATGAGACTAAAAGCAGCTAATCAAGGTCTCAGGGAGAAGTTTTATTGTTGACTGTAACAGCAGTAAGGTGTTTCCCTCGAAAAACTAGCATCTGCTGCGATGCTACCTTCTCACAAAGGAAGGAAGGGGTTAGAAAAGTACGTACGAAGTCCGACATTGTTGCTGACCAAATGATTACATTAATTTACTCTTTATTCGAATCAAAAAGTTAACTAATACAATTCTTTAATAATCATCAGTAAATCAGTAGTATTGTCAGTACATATATAAAATAAAATTCAAAATGATCACTTACCTAAATATGGTATACATGGTAGACGTGCATTATCTACAGCTGACCGAAGATTCATATAATTTTGTTCTTGTGAAAATAAACTAGCTAATTTACGAAATGTATGACGATCACGTGATGATAAATTTGACCATGTTGCATCCAATCGATAAATACACTGAACATGCAAACCGGACACAATAGCCATAGCTGAAGAGAAATTATTCAAATCGACTAGCTTCTGTAGAATGTATGGTAGAGATTGTGATTGTTCGTGTGTGTGTGTGTGTGTAGGGGAGGGAGAGAGAGAGAAAGGGAAATACAAATAAGTAATGAATAAGAAATTTGTCCCCAATAACAACAATAAGTTTGAATATATACAAATATATATTTGAAATCATGAATCGATCAATGTTAGACCATCATTAGAAGGAACGTGGAAGCACTGGACAGCCGTCTCATTCTGGTATGGGACTCATCAGTGATAGTGCGCATCTACGACTCCTTCACTCCATAGGATTCTAACCCAGGACCTTCGGTATGCGGGCGAACGCCTAACCGTGACTTGATCAAAGACATTAACCTAGTGACAGACGAAATCTCAGATCGGATACAAAAGGCTCGACTGGCATTTGCCTACCTGCGTCACCTATGGCGCAGGCGAGATATCCGCTTGTTAACCGAAGGACGAGTGTGCAGTGCAGCAGTTCGCTCTGTTCTACTATACGGATGCGAAACATGGCCGTTAAAAGCAGATGTTCGTAGGTTACTAGTATTCGATCAGATATGTCTTCGAAGCATCGCTCGTATATCGTGAGACAACCGAGTAAGCAGTGCTGTCGTTAGGAAACGAGTATTAGGTAACGATGGCAGATCAATAGATGAAGCATTGAAACTTCATCAGTTGAGGTGGTTGGGACATGTGTTGCGTATGCCTAACCACCGAATGCCTCGACGAGCTATGCTTTGCAGTGTAGGAGTAGGTTGGAAGAAAGCTAAGGGCGGCCAGACCAAAACATGGCAGAAATCCATGAAGTCATGGACTAGTGGACTGAGTCATGTTGGTAGATGTAGACTACCTGGTTGGGGTCCGCGAGACGAAAGTCACCAATGGTTAGAGACCTTGAACGACATGGCTCAAAATCGTTTGCAATGGCTCAAGTGCATCCATTCTTTGTGTTCTCGCAAATCCTAATCTTCTGGATTCGTCAGCACTGTTGTACTCACTGCCTTGTGGATTAGACGTTTACAGATTAAATGTTTGTTGAATGGTCACCTACTTCAAGATTCAGGCATCCGAATTGTATCAAAGTCTGCTCACAAACAAATTTATTGATTTAATGTGTATGTCTATAACACAATAAAACATAATAAAGTCAACACTATCGGAATTTAGAAAACATGTAGACAATCGATGACCTGGCTCTTCTATTGCACACGCAACAACAAATGAAAGAGAAGACGACCAGTGAAGCAGCAGTAGGTCTCGACATACATACAGGAAAAAGCGAAATTCACCGATGCAACACAACATGCACCAACCAAATCACTCTTGATGGAGATGCCTTGTAGGACGTTATTACTTTTACATATCTGGGCAGCATCATCGACAATCAAGGTGGATCCGATGCAGATGTGAGGGTGCGGATTGGCAAAGCAAGGGCTGCATTTCTACAGTTGAAAAATATCTGGAAGTCCAAACAACTTTCAACCAAAATCAAAATCAGGATTTTCAATACAAATGTCAAGACAGTTCTACTGTATGGAGCAGAAACTTGGAGAACTACGAAAGGCATCATCCATAAGATACAAGTGTTTATTAACAGTTGTCTACGCAAAATACTTCGTATTCATTGGTCAGACACCATCAGCAACAACGTACTGTGGGAGAGAACAAACCAGATTCCAGTGGAGGAGGAAATCAGGAAGAAGCGGTGGAAGTGGATAGGACACACATTACGAAAAGCACCTAACTGCGTCACGAGACAAGCCCTCACATGGAACCCTCAAGGCAAAAGGAAAAGAGGAAGGCCAAAGAACACATTACTCCGAGAAATAGAGAAAGATATGAGAAGAATGAACAAACATTGGACAGAACTTAAGAGGGAAGCCCAGGACAGAGTTGGTTGGAGAAAACTGGTCGACGGCCTATTCTCCATTGGGGGTAACAGGCGTAAGTAAGTAAGTAAGTAAGTAAGACAATCGAAATACAAAATTCAATTTAGCATAAAAAATTACCAAAGTTAGAGGGAAAAAACAAAATTCGAATTGGAAATGAAAAAGCGCACGCGCGCGCGCTCGCACATACACACACTAACACAAACCTTTGCTATTCGTATAAAATGTGATAATATTTCTGTTCGTTTTGATAAACTTTTTTCATTCAAAATATCCTTTTGAACCCAAAATATAATCTATAAAAGAAAAAAAATTAATTATTTATTATATAAAAATGAATAGTCAGTCAGTCAGATGCAACACAGAACTTCGAACGTAAGTACATCAGTTCATGTCGCCATACCATATCAGCACAGAGATGTAATTGTCAATTCAAATCCAATAGTAGTAGAGGTAGTTAAGGTATTAGAAGTAATCGGAGAGGTTAGGATGAGAAGATACTATTCAAGAAGTATGATTCAGCGGGAAAAGTTTACAAAGTTGAAGAATCCAGAAGATTAGGATTTGAGAGAACACAAAGAATAAATGCACCGGCGCCATTGCGAACGATGCACTTGCGACATTGCAAACGACTTTGAGCCGTCATTCAAGGTCTCTAACCATTGATGACTTTCGTCTCACGGACCCCAACCAGGTAGTTGACAATTACCGACATGGCTCAGTCTACTAGTCAATGATTTCATGGATTTGTGCCATGTTTTGGTCTGGTCGCCCCTAACTTTCTTCCAACCTATTCCTACACTACAAAACAAAGCTCGACGAGGCATTCGGTGGTTGGGCATACGCAACACATGTCCCAACCACCTCAACTGATGAAGTTTCATTACTTCATCTATTGATCTGCCATCCTCACCTAGTACTCGTTTCATGACGACAGCATTGCTTACTGGGTTGTCCCACGATATACGACCAATGCTTCTTAAACATCTATGATCGAATACTAGTAATCTACGAACATCTTCTACTCTTAAGAGCCATGTTTCACATCCATATAGGAGAACGAAGCGAACTACTGCACAGTACACTCGTCCTTTGGTTAACGAATGGATATCTCGCCTACGCTATAAGTGACGCAAGTTGGCAAAATCCAATTGAGCTTTCTGTATCCGTGTTGAGATTTCGTCAGTCACCAGGCTATCAGCGTAATCTCCATCAGTCGATATAGTGAATTCTTTCTCTAAAGTATCCCCTTCCACTGTATCAATATGGCTTGCTTGAACAAGTATAATTTGAATAATAGAATAAAATTCACAATAATTAAATGAACTCACTTGATTAAACCATCTTGTTGATGCAACTATATTTGGAGCATATTGTAATTTCTCTTTACTATTCCATTTTAATGTATAAAATTCCTTTTAAACAAAAAGAAATACAAAATGTACAATTTATTTGTTTTAATTTAAATGATTATTTTGTCGGCGTTGGTTCTCAATTTTGCAATCGAAGTGTCAAAGAAGCCTCCACAATGTTTTCCTATCCACACTCCATAGGAAAACACTCTGTGTTTATTAACACTTAGTTGTCTAAGCAAAATACTTTGGATTTGTTGGCCAGATACGATCAGCAACAACCGACTATGAGTGGGAGAGAACAAATCAGATTCCAATGGAGGAGGAAATCAGGAAGAAGCAGTGCAAGTGGATAGGACACACATACACTACGAAAAGCACCTAACTGCGTCCGTCACAAGACAAGCCCTCACTTGGAATCCTCAAGGCAAAAGGAAAAGAGGAAGGCTAAGGAACACATTACGCTGAGAAATAGAGAAAGACATGAGAAGAATGAATAAAAATTGGACAGAACTGGAAAGGGAAGCCTAGGACAGGGTTGGTTGGAGAAAACTAGTGGGCGGCCTATGCTCAATTGGGGGTAACAGGCTAGAAAATTATTGATGATACTCTGTAGTTCACTTTTATCTAAGCTGATTCGATTGAGGTAATGATTTATTGTTATGATAGGTAATTGATGCACTAAACTACACTTTACCCCCCCCCCCGCCTTCATATGAAGGAGGATTGATATGAACCAGAGTTCGAACTGGAGACTTAGTGGTTTGAATAAGTCAATAATTAATCTAACTTGCGTTAATTATGGTGTTGACAAGATAACCGTTTGCTAATAAAAGGTTGAGTCTACTGCGCAGTAGTTCGCTCCATTCTACTATATATGGATGCGAAATATGGCCAGTCAGAGCAGATATTTGTAGGTTACTGATATTCGATTATAGACGTCATAGAAGTATTGCTGGTGTATCATGGGACAATCCAGTAAGTAGTTCTGCCATTAGGAAACGAGTACTAGGAAGTAGTGAAACTTCATCAGCTGAGGTGGTTGGGACATGTGTTACTCATGCCCAACCACCGAGTGCCTCGGACAGTGGTGATGCCCTTATGTAAGAGTAGGTTGGAAGAAAGGTATGGGGTGACCAAACCGAAACATGGTACGAATTCATTAAATCACTGACAAATGGAATGAGTCATGTTGGCAGATGCAGACTACCTGGTTGGGATGCCGGTGAGGGCAGCCGGGAAGTGACGACCGCCCACGAGAGCAAATTGATCGAAATCACACACGAACACTTAACGTGTAAGTCGGCATTCAATGGTGTTTCAGGACGAGACAAAAGATCCTGACTTCGATGCCCCCCCCACACACGATCCAGAGGTCGTGAATGTGCGCATCGCTCAAAAAAAGGGATGACAACACAGATATTCAATACTTTCCAGGATTTCTAATGATGATCAAGTTTTCTAATTTCAACTAGGAAAAATAAATATCAGTCAGTCAGTTACAAAGTAGAACATCGTACCTACGTACGCACGTACATCAGTTCAAGTTGTCATACCACTTTAGCACAGAGACACAACTATCAATTCAAATCCCATAGTAGTATAGGGAGTAGAAGTATTAGTAATAATCAGAGAGAGAGAGAGATTAATGATAGAATATATCAATCCAGATGTATACCCCAGAGGAATCAGTTAGGAGAAGAGAAAAAAACGATCATCAGGAATTGAGATTAGAATTTCGTCGAACACAAAGAGTGGATACACTTGCACCATCCCAATCGATTTTTAGCCATATCATTCAACGTCTCTATCCATTAGTTATTATTATCTTGTAGTCTCCAACTAGGTAGTCTATATCTACTTACATGGATCAAGTTCAGCAGTCAATTTCTTCATGAATTTGTGATATGTTTCAGTCTAGCCATTCCTAACTTTCTTCCAACCTCCTCTTACATCAAACATCACCGCTGTCCAAGGCAGTCGATTTGTTATCCTTACCTAGCACTCGTTTCCTAACAACTACATTGCTTATTCGATAGTCCCAAGATATCTGAGCAATGTTTTGGAGACACCTATGATCCTCAACATTTATTGACCATGTTTCATACACTCATAAAGTAGGATGCAACAAACCTACTGCTTAGTAAATTCATCCTTTTTGGTTAGACATCATCACACACCAAGCTATCAGCGCATTGATACGATTTCCAAAGCAATTGAAAAGTGGTCAACACACACAATCAATCAATCGTTTCAGTTGCTGTCTTTCAGTGCTTCCAGGTTTCTAACATTGATCTATTCATGCTTTCAAAAATGTGTAACTTAACAGTCTTCACAACCCCGTCATGCAAGTTCCCTGTGCTCACTAGTGACTAGCTTCGTGAGGAATCTTCTCCGAGTTCTAGTGGGAAGACGTGACCTGTGAAGTTCAACCTGTTCGGGTGTAGACAGTAACTACTACCGAAGACTGTATATGAGGTTGTGCAACTCCGTGAATTTGATGAAGTTAGACATTAACACCGTTAGATACCGGCTCAGTGGTCTAACGGTTAAGGCGTTCGCGCACAGTACCGAAGGTCCTGGGTTCGAATCCTGCGGGGTGCATGAGTCGTGGATACGCACTGCTGAGGAGTCCCACACTAGGACGAAATGGCCGTCTTTCAGTGCTTCCAGGTTTCTAATGGTGGTCTAACATTGATCGATTCATGGTTTAAAAAATGTGTAGCTTAACAATCTTCACTACCCCGTAATGCATCTTTCATCATAAATAAGTTTATTTATTAAAGTACTTTCTAATCATAGATTCATAACATATTATTGAAAAAATAAAATTTATTTTAATCATACTCCCAAAATAATAATAATAACAATAATTAATAAATAAAAATTTATCATGTCACTGAATCAGTAAAAAAACTATCTTTTTTTGAAAAAAAATTCCCGCCTTTTTTTGTTTAAATGATTGCTAATTTTATCAATGTGTTGATTGAATTATTATTATTATTATTATTATTATTATTACTATTATTATTATTGTGAACAATTGGTTATCACAGTTTATTATTTATAGGCGAAAATAGTCTCTTTAAATTAACACATTTAATTTCTATACAGTATAATTAGAATTTCGTGTAAATCAAATGCTGTGAGCCAATCAGAAACAAAGCTGAATGAGAAACTGATTGGACAATTATCAAATATGTCCTTCAAGGAATAATCAGTTAATCAATCAATCAACAACAACACAGAACTTCGTACTTATGTACATCAGTTCAAGTTGACATAACACATTATTAGCACAGAGATGTCATTGTCAATTCAAATCCCATAGTAGTAGTAGTAGAGGTAGTAGAAGTTTGAGTAGTATTCGGAAAGATTAGAGTTTGAAGATCTTAGGTAGAAATCGGGAAATGGACATAATGCCATCCGACTAGTCTTCTTGTGACAATCATAAGGGAATCAGTGTAACTAATATAGTTTTTAAATTGTTAGCCTCGATTATACTTAGCCGTGAACAGTAGACTAGAGAAAACCAGGCTGGTTTTCAGCCTGGATTTGGTTGTATAAGATCACATTTTCACACTCTACGACTAGTTCTAGAACACAGATACAGATGTAGGCGTCCAACAATAGTTGTTTTCTTGGACCTTAAGGTGGCATTCGACTGTGTTGATTGTGAGGTTCTGTGGTAGCGTCTGTCATTAAAGGGTGTACCAGAGAAGTACATTACACTTGTACAAGCTCTCTACTCTAAAACTATTGGTTGAGTAAGATATAATGGCGAACTGTCATAGGAATTGATTCATTCAAGTGGTGTCCATCAGGGTTGTCCACTTTCTCTATTGTATAATTTTGTCATAGACATGCTTCTAAATATATAACATTATCATCGTCTTAAGGAATAATACACATCATTGGTCAAGAAATGGATTCATTTTCTAAGGAAGATGATAGTAAGATTCCATGGTCAAATAGGCTTTCGCTCCCAGTCTACAATTTTCATTCAGAAGGGATTAAAACGAAACACATTTTCACCTTGGGCACCATTCATCGTAGAATATAATATCATTAGAGAAATTTTAAATATACTCTACATACGTACCAACACTTAAAAATAAGGACTCAAAAGACAAGATATTATGTTCGAATCAATAATCTACAATAATTTCATGCATAATTTACTTGTGTACTATGTTCTCTAAGGTGAACCGTTTAAATGTACAGTGTTTATTATTTATTGGTAGAGTTTCGTTCTCGAAGAATTGTATGTTTCGGTGTAGGAGACTTTTATTATTGGGTTTACTTCTGAACAACAACATCATCATCATCAGTATAAACTTTAGTGCAGTATTCAAAATTTCTCAATGTACACCGATCAGTCGGCGGCAATCAGCAAACATGTTGACATTGATCAATCAATCAGTCAATCCGTCCTACTGTACAGATGCGAGATATGGCCGTTAAGAGTAGAGGACTTTCGTAGGTTACTAGTCTTCGATCATCGATGTCTCCGAAGCATTGCTCGTGTATCATGGGACAACCGTATAAGCAATGATGTCGTTAGGAAACGAGTTCTGGGTAGGGATGGCAAATCAATATATGAAGTAGTGAAACTTCATCAGTTGAGGTGGTTGGGACATGTGTTACGTATGCCTAACCACCGACTGCCGCGACGAGCTTTGTTTTTCAGTGTAGTAGATTGGAAGAAAGCTAGGGGTGGCCAAACCAAAACATGGCACAAATCCATGAAGTCACTGACAAGTGAGCTGATTCATGTTGGTAGATGTAGGCTACGTGGTTGGGGTCCGCGAGACGATAGTCACCAATGGTTAGACACCTTGAATGACATGGCTCAGAATCGTTTACAATGGTGCAGGTGCATCCACTCTTTGTGTTTTATGAAATTCTAAGGTTCTGCATTTCTCATAATCTCTACCTTTCTCCTTCTAAATTTATCTTACTGAATTATACTTCTCGAATCATATCATATCTTCGCTCCCTAATCTTCTCCATTACTGATAATACTTCTACTATCACTATCACTGTTGGATTTGAAGTGACAGTTGCGTCTCTGTGCTGATAGGTCATGGCAACCTGAACTGATGTACTTACGTACGAAGTTCTGTGTTGTATCTGTCTGTCTGTCTATCTATTCGTCAATCAGTCAATCACAAAAAATCATACACACAAACATAGGATCAACAATCAAATCAAGGGACGTGGGGGGGGGGGAAGCTGTTGTATACAACCAAAATAAACCCTGCAGACAATGAATATATATTTAAAGGTCAAGCAAGGTTGACAGTATAAGAAAGGGGGTTTTTTTTTTAACAACCAACCAATTTGATACATAAAAATAAAAAAAAGCTAAACAGAAAAATAAATGAGTAGTATATTCATACTACTAAATAAATCAATCACTGAACTTACATCTGGTTCGATAGCTTGAAAATAATTCAATTCAATTAATGTCATTTGTTGCTGTAAAATGAATGAGAAAAAAAACGAAATTCAATAAACACAAATAACTCAATAATAATAATAATAATATTAATAATAATCGGGTTGCAGCATTACAAGCCTTCACTAACACCTTTACATTATTTGGGCAGCATCATCTGTGGTGTGTGCTACTTATACGAACGATATAAGTAGTATAAGAAGGGATGTGAAAGAAGTCTCACGGTCAGAAGAGGAAAACGGAAAGCAAATGGAGCAAAAGCAAGAAGGAAATTGAATACCGACAGGAAGTAAAGGAAGCAACAGCAGAAATGAAAGGAGGCTGGAGCGTTGGAAGTCACGACTCAAAAATGGTGTGCAAATAGAGTGTATTCAATGTAATGTTTTCGTTTTTAATTGACTAAGAGTGTAAATTTGCTAAATACAATTAGTCGAGCCAGCATCAGTCTTCTCAATCGACAATCAAGGAGGATCCGATGCAGATGTGAGGGTGCGGATTGACAAAGCAAGGGCTGCATTTCTAACAGTTGAAAAATATCTGGAACTCCAAAACAAATATCAATCAACACCAAAAAATCAGGACTTTCAATACAAATGTCAAGACAGTTAGTTCTACTGTATGGAGCGGAAACTTGGAAAACTACGAAAGGTATCATCCAGAAGATACAAGTGTTTATTAACAGCTGTCTACGCAAAATACTTCGGATTCGTTGGCCAGACACCATCAACAACAACGTACTGTGGGAGACAACAAACCAGATTCCAATGAACGAGGAAGTCATGAACAAGCGGTGGAAGTGGATAGGACACACACTACGAAAAGCACCTAACTACATCACGAGACAAGTCCTCACATGGAACACTCAAGGCAAATGGAAAAGAGGAAGGCCAAGGAATACATTATGCCAAGAAATAGAGAAAGATATGAGAGGAATGAACAAACATTGGACAGAACTAGGAAGGGAAGTCCAGGACAGGGTTGGTTGGAGAAAACTGGTCGGCAACCTATGCTCCATTGGGGGTAACAGGCGTAAGTAAGTAAGTAATTACAAGCCTTCATATAGAATCCACAAGGTAAAAAGGAAAAGAGGCAGACCCGGAAGAACAAACACAATTACGCCGTGGAAATGAAAACAGACGTGGAAAGAAGGTAGAAGAGGAGGAGGACAGAGTAAGTTGGAGAATACTAGTTGGCGATTGATGCTTCACAATTCGGAGATAACAGATATAAGGAAGTAAGTATAGGAGACTTATAATTTTAGTGATCTATGTTTGATACGAAATGTAACAAATGTAAAAGTTAACTGGCAGACAGAGAATTATACAAATATTTAAGTTACTACAACATTAATGACTACATTGAAAGTTCAAACGAAATTATGAATACAAAAGAAGTAGGTTTAAGTAGCTGAGTAATGTTCATCGTTGGGATCGATAATTCTAGTAGACTGTGTTAAAATCATGCCAGGTTCAGTGATTTATATAGACTGCGTTATGTTCGTCGTCTGGATTACCACTTTGTCGTAGAGGTAGCTTGCCGGGCTTCTCCTGTTCAACCATTTGCTGTCAGTCAGCTAGCTCTATTGGGATGGACACGTTCAGATAGGTTACGATAAATGCATCCACCAACGTAGTACAAACTTAAAAATATATATCAGTTAGTCAAATCGACAATTATTTCTTAAATATGAGATGAAGTCAGTCAGTCAGTCAGTTACAAAGTAGAACTTCTTACGTACGTACGTACGTACATCAGTTTAAGTTGCCATATCCCATTAGAACAGAGATGCAATTGTCGATTCAAATCCTATAGTAGTAGAGGTTAGTAGAAGATTATGCTTTGAAGAAATTATTCAAAAAGTAGAATCTAGACGAATAAACGTAAAAAGAAAATGATCAAGGTGATGAGGGATTCAGAATGTTATGGTTTGAGAGAACACAAAGAATGAATGCACCTGTGCCAGTGAAAAACGGTTTTGAGCGATGTCATTCAAACGGATATTTCACCTACGCCATAAGTGACGTAGGTTGGCAAAAGTCAATCAAGTCTTCTGTATCCGTGTTGAGATTTCGTCACACACCAGACCATCAGCACTGATGAGACTCCCCAAATAAGTGAGGCGGTCAACATGCTCAACTGCTTCACTTAATATCACTAGTTCAGGTGCCGAAGCAAACCAATCTTGAAGCAACATTTTGCATTTCGAAGGGGATGATCGCATCCCGAATATGCTTGTATTGTTGCTTAGGGTAGTCAGAAGACTCTGTATTTTGTCAGCGTCTTCAGCAAGCAGAACTATGTCATCGGCATATTCTAAATCAACAAACGATTTTCCTGGTAAAACGTCTACTACTCTTGAGAATTCAGACGAGGATAATGTTATGTCTAAAAGCATATCTACGACAAAATTAAACAAGAATGGAGAAAGTGAACAGCCCTGACAGACATCACTTGAAGTAATCATTTCCTATGACAGTTCGCCATCAGCTTGAACTCAATCTGTAGTGTTCGAGTAGAGAGCTTGTATAAGGTTCATGTACTTCTCTAGTACACCTTTCAATGACAGAAACAGCCACAGAACCTCACTTATCCACAGAATCAAATGCCACTTTAAAGTTCAGGAAGACAACTTTTGTCGGATGCCTACATCTGTCTGTATCTGTGTATTTTAGAACAAGTCATAGAGTATGAAAATGTGGTCTTATACAACAAACCAAATCCAGATCTAAAACCAGTCTTACTCTTTTCACCAGTACTAGTAGTGTAGCGAAGGAGAACACAGGTGGGCCAGCGGATTGCATTTATCACAAATTACAGAGTTACTCAGTAAAATCGGAAAACCATATCTTAAATTGTTAATTTGCAAAATATCAGTCCATCATCATATCGAACTGGACTGTTCCTGTTGCAAAACATCAATCCATTGTCACTATTCATGTGTTTCATACAAATTCCATTGTGTTCCCAATCTTCCTTTCTTGATTTTCCCCCATCTTCTGCTGCCAGACATTACGTTTTTACTCACGTCATATACTACTTATAAGTAGCTCGCACAACACTCGTCCCCCCTTTTAATAAGCCTTCGTCGTAGTCTTTCAAAACAGGGACCCTGGTCAGTTAATATCACCTTCCGTATTCCGTGACGCGCTAAAATATGCCGGATTACCACTTCGGTCATTGTTCTTGCCCGCTGGTCTGGAATGGGTACGGCATCTATCCAACGTGTAGCGTTTACTAGTTCCCGCTGCTGGGACACGGCGGCAGGCACACTCTCGATAAATGGCGACGCCAACAACTGTGCCCCCGACTCCCCATCCATACTCGGCAGCGCACGGCGCAGCAATATCGTGAGCTCTACAGCCAGCACCAACAGGTCACCATCATCCGACAGCCTCGCCAACCGGAACCTCTGCAGCGCCTCCTCCCTGTCCACCGGGCTGTCGAACTCCGTCATCGGCTGCCCGGTGACCGTCTCCCATGCCGTCTTCCCGGCAGCACCGTCCAGACTGTCGTACACCGCCTTCGCCTCACCTCACCTTCACACCCACCAACTCCACCGTGGCCTCAAACTCCTCTAGGAAGCTCCGCAAATCTCCGTCCTCCAACTCCATCGGTCACGGGAGCTCCTTCCTCCGAGCAGGCAGCGGCACCAAATGTGGTGAACGGAGAACGCAGGTGGGGCAACCGAATTGTATTTAACGAAAATTACAGAGTTACTCAGTAAAATCGGAAAACCATATCGTAAATCGTTCATTTACAAATTATCAGTCCATCATATCGAACTGGACTGTTCCCGTTGCAAACAACATCAATCCATTGTTACTATTCATGCGTTTCATACAAATTCCATTGTGTTCTCACTCTTCTTCCTTTCTTGATCTTCCCCCATCTCACTTCATATACTACTTATAAGTAGCTCACACCTATACTAGTAGTTAGGCAAGAAATAGAAATTAAACATACACACACACACACACTTACAGCAATTAATTCAGGATCACATTTTAAATGTTTTTTCTTTTCATATTGATGATTTTTGCCACCAACAACATCTAGCGTTGTTGTATCATAATTTTTACGTACAATTTTTATTACATTTGGTAATGTGGAAGATTTCATTCGATTTGATTTGTCATTTGTGGCTGGTGTTGTTGTTGTTGCTGGTGTCGTCAATACATTGTTCGTGATATTTTTTTGATTCAAAATAGTTGATTGTGAAAATATAGAATCCAATGAACTCTGAAATAATAATAATAATAATAATAATAATAATAATAATAAAAAAATATTTTATTCTACTTGTTGAATGAAAATGTTGTAACGCTTGCTAAGATAATTCCCAGCTAAATCCTATTGCTTAGTATTCTCTGACCACACAATACACTGGACAACTTCCAAAGAATCAAAAACACGGTTGAACAGGAAAAGATTATATTCCAAATAGCAAGATTAAATGAAAATAAGAAGTCCAAGGTGATGGCGAAGGTAAAGAAGGCAAAAATAGATACAACGTTAGTTTCTTCAGTGCATTTACATGAGAAGCTTTTGGATAGAAATTCACGTGATCGACTGGATTCGATTTAACCAATCAGCATGCAGCTAACAGTACGAGAATTTTCTACCATGTTCTGCAAGATTCGATCAGGCGCTGATTGGATGGGAAATAAGCCAATCAGCGAGTAGCAACGTAGTCATGCTTTAATTCCATCTATGTCCCACTAACAGAAAAACACACCAATCAAAAGAAGAAAGCATTTGTTGAATAGGCCTAACATGTTCACTGACTGCTAAAACCAAATCGGGTGATTCGCCTACCCCACCCCTCGCTCCCCAACGAGACTTTGATCTACACGTTTAAATGCTACAAGACAGTGAAGAAATCCTTATGTGGTGCGCGCTACTTATAAGTAGTATATGACGCGAGTGTCAACGTTATGTCTGGGGAAGATCAAGAAAGGAAGAAGAGTGGGAACACAATGGAATTTGTATGAAACGTATGAATAAGTGAGTGAACTGTCAGACAATGGATTGATGATGGATTGAAGATTTGCAAATTAACGATTTACGATATGATTTTCCTATTTTACTAAGTAACTCTGTAATTTTCGTTAAATACAATTCGGTTGTCCTCACCTGTGTTCTCCTTCACTACACTTAAGGTATGATCGGTCAATAAAAATAAGTTTATATGCACAATATGTTCTACCAGAAACCTGAAAGACTTATGTAAGCTATTGGTTTGGAATTAGGAGGATACACTGTACACACTCCTCGTAAAACGAACATGTGACATGAGGAGTCAGTCAGTGAATAGGACTTCTCTGTGGCAGTGTGACTTTATAGACATGATCATGTGAGAGTATTTGAAGGAGAGTGTCAATGCCATCCAATCTTGGTCGTACTACCGTGCATTTCAGGGCTACTTAAATAAATAACATCAGAATCATAGAATCTAGAGAAAATAAATGAAACTTTTTAATTGATTACAATTATGTATGTATATATGTGTTTTGCAAACTACTAGAGCTTATAAATATTATAATAAAATCTCAATACAAAAATATACTAGGTTCATTAGTTATAAACAACATAGTTCCCGACTGTAGCTGCTATCTTGACGTAGTGGTCGGGTATGCCTATCAAGCTGACACATAATCGAGCTATATTGGCTGGAACATATGTTGCTGAAGGTTCTACCATGTCAGGCAGATCGATTGGAGAACGATCAGACTAAAAGCAGCTACTCAAGGTCTCAGGGTGAAGTCGTACTGCTGACTGTGATGGAGGGGTGTGACAGCAGTGAGGTGTCTCCCTCGGACAATCAGGATCTGCAGCGATACTGCTTTCTGACAATGAAGGAACGGGTTAGAGAAGGTTGACTCTAAAAATGTTACACCTCACCTTACCTTACGGATTTTTTCGTCTCAGGCAGTAAGGCCACTTGAAGAGCAGTGGCTAGCGCTTTAAAACTTCTCATAAAAAGACCGTGTATGACTAGCCTCTAGTAGTTGTCCCGTGGCCTCAGCGGTCACACTCTCAGGTCACTAAGATCAACAATAACCCAATTTTCTTTTACAGGTTACTACTCAAGAAACAACCTTCCACGATCTGGGCAGCCAGGAAGTGAGTGACATTCACCCTCATAACCGTAACAGAACACCAGACGAAATTGGCCATTTATGCGTAATTATAAGCCGAATACGGATTTGGTTGGATGAATTTACTCAAGACAGAGACAGAAGACAATAAAAAGCAAACAGACGGAGTAAAACGCAGTGGAGAAGGCGAGAAAGTCAACTCCATGAAATGAAGCATGACTCAGTGTTTATAGTCAGACAAACTAAGCTAGACATGTGATAAGTGAAGTAAGCGGTGCACACATATATTGGAATAGAAACAATCACGACGAAACCGAATATTTGACAAGGTCAATAGACGAATTAATAGTAGTAACTCGGGTAGAATGGAATGGTTAATTTGTTCGAAGGCTTGCGCAACAAGCCTTGTAGGCTCGATACAAAAGTACACGTACTACAGGAAGCTGCTTCAACTGGACGATCTGGACTTCGCAGATGATCTGGCTCTTTCTTCTATCACACACGCAATAACAAATGAAAGAGAAGACAACCAGTGTGGCAATAACTTCAGCCGCAACAGGTCTCATCATACATAAAGGGAAAAACAAGATTCTCCGATACAACACAACATGCGCCAATCTAATCACTCTTGATGGGGATACCTTGGAGCACGTACAAACCTTAATATACCAGGACAACATCAGACAGACACAACACAGAACTTCGTACATAAGTACATCAGTTCAGGTTGCCTGCCATGCCCCATCAGCACAGAGACGCAGCTGTCACTTCAAATCCAAGAGTGATAGCAATAGTAGAAGTATTAGCAGTAATGGAGAAGATTAGGGAGCGAACATATGATTCAGTAAAATAAATTTAGAAGGATAAAGGTAGAGATTATGAGGAATTCAGAAGATTAGAATTTCATAGAACACAAAGAATAAATGCACCGGCGCCATTGCAAACGATTCTGAGCCATGTCATTCAAGGTGACTATCGTCTCGCGGACCCCAACCACGAAGCCTACATCTACCAACATGACTCAATCCAGATGTCAGTGACTTCATGGATGTGCCACGTTTTGGTTTGGCCGCCCCTAGCTTTCTTCCAATCTACACCTACACCACAAAACATAGCTCGTCGCGGCAGTCGGTGGTTAGGCATACGTAACACATGTCCCAGCTACCTCAACTGATGAAGTTCCAGGACAAAATCATTGATGAGCAAGGTGGTTACAAAGTAGATATGAAGGCGCAGATTGACAAAGCAAGGGCAACATTTCCACAACTGAACAACTGCCAACAAACACCAAAGTCATGATCTTCAATACAAATGTCAAGATAGTTCTACTCAATGAGGTGAAAACTTGGTGAACTATCAAAGACACCATCTACTAGATACAAGTGTTTATTAACAGATGAACAACACAAAATACTTCGGATCTATTGGTCAGACATTATCAGCAACAACCTCAGTCAGTCAGTCAGATGCAACGTAGAACTTTGTACATAAGTATATCAGTTCATGTTGCCATACCACATCAGCACAGAGATATAATTGTTAATTCAAATCCAATAGTAGAAGAGGTAGTAAGGGAATTAGAAGTAATCGGAGAGGTTAGGATTAGAAGATACTATTCAAGAAGTATGATTCAATGAAAAGTTTAGAAAGTCAAAACTAGAGGTGTTGAAGAATCCAGAAGATTAGGATTTGAGAGAACACAGAGAATAAATGCACCGGCGCCATTGCGAACGATTTTGAGCCATGTCATTCAATAGGACGCACACACAACTACGTCACAAGACAAGCAGCCCTAATTTGAAATTCTAAACGTCAAAGTAAAAAACAGGAAGGCCAAAGAACACATTACGCTGAGAAATAGAGACAGATATGAAAAAAAAGAAAATGCATAAAAATTGGACAAAACTAAAAAGGGAAGCACAGTTCAGAGCAAGTTGAAGAATACTAGTCGGTGGCCTATATTGCTGTAAATATCAATAAGTTTATCAATTAGAGCTTTCAAGTGAATCTCTCATAATCATCAAAATATAGTTTTTGCCTTTGCTCATTTTACTAATCAAATACACTTATTGTATATATATATATATATATATATATATATATATATATATATATATAAGTAGTTAATTCAAATTTTACAAGAAAAATTTGAGAATGTATGTTTGCTTAGTTTGTACTTGGCATACATACAATCTTTCGTATATCGTTATGTTATATTTTGCAATCTTGTATAAATAAATACATTGTAGGTGAGTTGAACAGATCTACTTCATAGTAGTATCACTAATGGCCTTACTTACTTACTTACTTACACTTAGAACTCCTAATGAAACATAAGACACTGACTAGTGAATAATTTTTCTAGTTAGCCTTTTATTTTTAACAAGTTGGATTTCTACAGGATGAGATCGCTAACCTCACAATGCCTTACCCTCCTCCTCCTTTATTAACGGGATTTGGAATTGGCAGTAACTGTAGTAGGGCTTCTGCCAGTCGCAAGCCCGAAGAGGGTTGGCGGCCCTATCCCATGAAAAAAAACTAACTCTCTAAAAAAAACGCTCACTGTGCTCTGACAGTTAGAAGATCTTCTCTTTCAGAAGAGTTATGACGTCGCTTTATGAAAGCCAAAATTCATTCTATAGTTACGAGGCCGATGTTGCTTCTGATAAACAGAGCAACCAATTTTTTTTTAGGTACATGGAATGTTTGAATGTTGTGGAGGACCGGAAGACTATTTCAAATTGCTGAAGAAATGAAAAGATACAACCTAGAAGTGTTTGGAATCAGTGAAACTCATTGAACGCACGTTTTACAACTGAGACTAGCTTCAGGAGAGCTGTTGTTGTATTTCAGCGATGAAGAGGAAAATGCCTCATATACATACAAGGAGTCGCACTGATGCTGTCCAAACAATCGCAAAAGGCATTTATAGTATGAGAATCTCATAGACCAAGGATCATCAAGGCATCTTTCAAAACAAAAAGGAAAGAGAGCACTAAAATAACATATCATTCACTGCTATACGCCAAAGAACGTTAACAATGACTAAGTTAAAAATAAATTCAACGAGCGGCTGAAGTCAATTGTCGAGAAATATGTCAGTCAGTCAGCTACAACGTAGAACTTCGTAAGTATGTACGT